CAAGTTGCATTGGAATATTATTGACATTTCTTAAAAAATAGGCTTTGATTCTTAACGTCTTTTTAAATCAGATTGCTTAGGTACTTTCAATGAAAGCATTGCAAATTGACTGTGATTTTAATCACCATTTTATCCAATTATTTTTATTTTATTTTCTGTAAGAATATAAAATATTAAACTTAAATCATCAGTCATTGAAATAGATGATTGAATGATAAAGGATCTGATTCTTATTTTGTGGAAGGTGAGTGACTGGATCCCTGTGCTGGGACCAGTTTCTCTGACAATATAAACTGGTGGAGCTGACAAGATGAACTGGCCTGGGGTAGTGATCCAGTGCATCCCCCTGCTCCTGTGCTGCTGATAACCCCCAGGGCCAGGTAGGAGGGCTGGCAGGGAGATGTTCACCAGCTGCAGCTGCAGGGGTCACCCTGTGTGGGTCACCTTGGGGTGATGTGGCAGGTGGGAACTCGAGGGGTTTGGACTGAAATCGCCAAAACCAATTGAATGTGGAACTTTGATCAATCAAGTTTAAAAAAAAAAATCCTCAATGTTCAAACAAAATCCTTAATGATTGTGGAAAGCTTAAAATAAAGCACATTGGTTAGCACATCACATGGTCCTGTTTGCTCTGTAGTTCAAGGGGAGAAAACCAAGGCCTGAGCCTCTCCCTGCTCCAGCTCCATCCCTGATTTGGGCAGTGGCTCCCCAGGAGGAGCAGGAGGGCAGTGCAGTCCTGTTGAACACCGGAGCAATGCGAAAACCCCTGGCCCAGCATCTCAGGGCTGCTCTGCTCAAGAGCCTTTGAGCACACCCCAAATCCCTGCTTGGCTGTGCTGGGTTTGGGCACTGTCATTCTGCGCGGATGCTCCTCGTCAGGCCTTAGCAAAGATGGGCTGAATGGGAAGGAAAAATTGCTCCCTGCAGTTTGCTTTCTCAGCCAGCTGTCCGTGAACAGCACGGGATTGCTGTCCCGGGCCAGGGAACAGGAACAAACAGGGAACAAACAGGGAACAGGAACAGGCTGTGCCTGCAGGAAGGAGCCCCGCGGTCCCACTGCCCTGAGCCACTCCTGCTGCTGCTGCAGGGGATGCTGTCAGCCATGAGCACAGAGCTGCCTGCAGGATAGACAGCAAGGGCTTTGGGATCACCCAGTTCCAAAGGGTAACATCCAGTCCAGCTCCCTCTCAGCTGCTGGGGTCACCTTTGGCATCAGTTTTGTTCATGGTCTCAGCTCTGACTTGGTGCATCCCAGGTGATCGAATCCAGGATGGTTTTCTTTGGCTTGAAAGCAGAGCTGAAACCACAGAGTTTGTGTAGTAGTCTCCAAAAATCACCTTCAGTGTCCTGGCCTGCCTGTGGCACTGTCTATCCAGGGATCAGGAGGAATTTCACAAATGCAGCCCCGGCAGGGTTGTGATCTCTGTGCCAATGTGAGAAACTGAGGCAGAGAGGGAACCAGTGACTTACCCAAGGTGCACAAAGGGGCCTTGGCACACCTGGGAAAGGTGTAAGAAGCACTTGCATCCTAAACCTCTTTAGTCCAAGACCTGTGTGCCAGCTCTGTCAGCAGCCCCTGTGTTTCCCAGGGCTCCCCAGAGGATCTGATTTAAGGCATGTGAACAACAGCATTACCTAATTCTGCTCTTTTATACCCAGGCCTCTGTGAGAGTAGAACTAGTCTGGCATGCTTGAGTTTTAATTATTTTTTTAAGCAGAGATTTTAAGATTTAGTATTTCTGGGGTTCAAAGGTGAACAGGCCTGCATGAATAATTTCTGATTCCATTTGCTGCTGCTAGTACTAAGTTTTGCCAAAAGCAGCTTTTAATGGCAAGTCAACCCCATTAGTCTTGAAGGGTCTGTGATATGTGAAGAGATATGAAAATTCCCAGGAAAGGGTATTTCAAGTGCTGTAGTAACCTTCTATAACTTTGACTGTGTTATTTTAATGGAACTTTGCTTGCCTATGCACCATTTCTCTAGGAATGTAAAAATCCAACAACCATCACAAAAGCCATTCACATTAGCAGCCTCCTTGTGAATTTTAATTAACAGGAAATGCCACTCATTGAAATTCAACATCCAGAATATCTCTGCTTTACTCCTTTGATGTTCCCCATCAAGTCCTGGACTAACATCCATATGTTCTCCTGAGACACTCGGAAGAAAATAATTTTGGTTTATTTGTAGTAGGAAAGCATTTCATCGTTGTCTTTTATCCCAGAAGCATTTGAGTTGCTTTACAAACTGTTCACACGGAGGAGCTGCTCTGTGGGTCCTTACAGCAGGGAGTGATTCCAAAGCTGTGCTCATCAGTTTGCACTCAGCAGCAATGCTGGAATTTCAGGAGAGGCAGGGAAAGAGTCGTGAAACAAATGAAAGTCCAGCATGATAGGGAATTCAGCTATTACAGGTCAGACAGCCTTGGTTCCCTTATCACATTTATCCCTTGTAATGGATAGTGCTGGGATTTTCCTATATTTCTACAGTAGTTACCTAAGAAGACATGATCTGGCTCTGTGTTACTGTAAGTTGTTCATTTGCAAGTGATTTGAACAAAGAACCACCCCTAATTAGTTAACCTTTCCCACACCCTCAATTTCTCAAATGGGCAGAATAATGTGATCAACAGGTGCTGATGATGCTGCCATGAATAATTATCTTCAGATTTAATTCTATTTCAGCCCTTCATTCATCTTCTTTCTGAAGCTGTACAGTTCATTTACTCCACCCTCTGCCTGGGGTACAGCATTGCACCCCTCCCATCCCTGTCCCCATGACAAGGTGACACTGTCACCACAGGTTGAATCTGCAGGTGGGCACAGGCCCACCCCAAACACTGCAGTCTGCACTCAGAACTGATTTTAAACCCCTGTCCTGGTGGGTACAAGTTCAGTGCTCATCCTTTATACAAGTGAAGCCAGGATCTGGTTCCTGGCAATGATGCCAAAGGAATCCTCTGCTGTCTCACAGTTCCAGCAAGCTGCTCACAGGCATGTAGGGCTCAGGTTCCTAAACCTAGTGCTAAAAAGTCAAAATTGGTGATGTTATAAAATTTTAGAACTTGGGCTCTACAGAGACTGGAGCTCATCAAGAAAGCAAATTCCTTTTATACCATCTGGAAATGACACAGGGTGGGAAAAGGCACCTTGGAGCATCCCAGGAGGACACAGCATTGCTCCTTATCTTAGAACCCTCCCAGCCACAGAGCGGTTTTTTGCAGAACCAAAAGGAGCCAGACCTCAGGGTCCTTGAGCAGAGCGTGACCACAAGATGTCACAGTTGCTTTGCTGCAATGCATGGTCCAGCATTTCCATGTCCCAGTCCTGCCCCTTTCCCACTCCCAGCCCTCAACCCCAGGTATCCCTATGAACACACACACTGGTATTTGGGTTTTTGCTGCTGTGTTTTGTTTGTTGGGTTTTTGGTTTTTTTTTTTTTTTGGCAAAACAAGCTTCTTCATTGTATTCTGGGCAAGGTTAGGCATTTAGGTTTCTATCTCATATACAGGTCATTCATGGTATATAAAATTGAAGTTTCCCCAGATTTATGCCCTTGCTGTAGGTCCAGCTGGCAGACAACAATTTTGAGTAGATCCAGAGGAAAAATCTAAGTATTTCCTTACTTACAAACAAACAGTTCTTGGTGCTGCCAAAGTTACTGCTCACTGTCACCCCAGACCTCAGGTGCCTTTGCCAGATGGTGTAGCAGACTCAGAAAACACCACAATGTTGTGGACTTGAGAGGTTTTTGTTCTTTATAGCCTATTGCTAAATGTATTTCTTTTTCTGCCCCAGAAAGCTGCCTGCATAGCCTGGATGGGGTCCCAGGGGCTGATGCTAATACCAGTTCACTCTGAAGCAGAGCGAGAAAGGAGTTTAGTCGTAGAAGAAGCTGATGAGCCTTGCAGGATCCAGCTATGGGTCTTTTGGGGTTAGTCCCTTCTAGTGTGCACATTGAATTAAAGACCTAATTCATGGCCTGAGCAAGCAATTGCTATGGATGCTCCAAACAAACAGCACTTTCTTTCCTGCCCGCCTGGCTGGTGCCTCTGCCCAGCTGGAGCCAGGCAGAGTTTCTCATCTGGCCCCTGTGCTCCAGGGCACCAGGAGGAAAGCTTTGCTCCACCAGCCACACAGGAGAAATGAAACCCTCAGCTGTAAAGTGGAGCTGTGGAGTGGAGCAGCGAGGGCACAAGGGCAGAGGTTTGCTCTGCCTGCTGTGCTCCTCATTCCCTGCCCTCCGATTCCTGCCGCTGCCGTGGGATCCAGCCACGTCCCCTGGGGAAGGTGCTGCTGTCCCACCTTTCTCTGGAGGGCAGAGCCCCACGTGCTTTGTCCCCAGGGTGGCTGGGACAGGGCTGACCTTGGGCCCTTTGCCCTTTCCCACCCAGGGGAGCATGAGAACATCCCGGGGGCCTGGCGGGTCCCAGCTGGCCTGGTTGGGACAGCGGCTCCCACAGGGGATGGGCTCAGGGGCAGCTGGGGGAGCTGTGTCACCTCTGCCCACAAATGGTGGCTTAGCATGAGAGACTCCGGCCAAGGGGCAGGGGAGGCTCCTGTGGCCCCTGAGCTCATAAATGAGGAGCAAACACTGTGGTTGTTGCTCATCTCCAGGTGAGCAGGTTTGATGGCTGGAGCTCTGCTGGGCACATCCTGGGGCCTGGCAAGTTGGGAACTGCACATCCTGGCCTGTGACAGTGTTCACAGCGGTCTTATATTGAGGGAAGAGAGGGAGATCTGATTCCATGTTTCAGAAGGCTTGATTTATTATTTTATGACATATATTACATTAAAACTATACTAAAGGAATAGAAGGAAAAGTTTCATCAGAAAACTAGCTAAGCTAAGAATAGAAAGAATGATAACAAAAGTTTGTGGCTCGGACAGAGAGCCCGAGCCAGCTGACTGTGATTGGCCATTAATTACAAACAACTCTATGAGACCAATCCCAGATGCACCTGATGCATTCCACAGCAGCAGATAATCACTGTTTACATTTTGTTCCTGAGGCCTCTCAGATTCTCAGGAGGAAAAATCCTAAGCAAATGATTTTTCATGAAAAATGTCTGCGACTCTGGCCTGTACATCTGGGAGCTTCTCAACAGTTTGGGAATCCTGACTGTGGCTGGGTTTTCTCTGTAGGGGATTTGCTGGCTATCAGGAATTCAGAAAGGTTGAAGATTAAAACTTTCTCTGCTAGGACTGTGAGATGAGCCACGAAGCCATTTGTGAACCCCACATACAGTTTCAGCAGGGAGCAGCAGCCTGTCAGAACAGATGAGCAGTTGCCAACTGGGTTGCTGGATCCTGCTATGCCTTTTGTGCCCATATAGGGCATAGATATAGAATATCTGAAAGAGGAAAAGGTCCCTTCCACCCTGAGAGAGATGCCAGCCCTGCTCACTGCTTGCTGGTGGGCAGTGGGAGGAGTAGTCATCTGATTTCCCCATATGGAATGATGACACCGCAGGTTCCAGGATCCTTGTTCCATCTTTGTCAGCCCATGTGTCATTGTTTCTCTTTTTTTTTTTTTTTTCACCTATGTGTCATTAAAACAAGCCTTCTCTGCAATAAGGGTGAGACCAGAAAAAGTGTGAAGCCCGAGCAGTGCTGTGCATCCTGGCACTGTTCTGTAGTGCTGTTGTTATTCCCCAGGCTTCACTCACCAGATTTTGCACACTTCAGGGATTGCTGATCTGAATTGCCTTAAAACATCTTGGGTTTTGAGTCCTGGTTCTCTGGTGCTGCCTTGGTTTCCTACCCTGCCTTTCCCCACAGCCACATCGGGATCCTCTCTCAGAGCAGCAAGGCACTGGAACATGGAGAGTCCTTGGGCAATTCTGGGGCACCTCACTGCCACTGGGTATGTAGAGAAAGCTTTATTCCCTCCCTTTCTCTCTGTCTTGATAGCTATTGTATGGCTTTTTCACAGAAAACCCCCTTTCCTAGCTAAAATTGTCCCTCAAGGGATAGCTGAGGCTGCTGTTCAGCAGTGGGAGACAGGGATTGCCTGGCTGGGTTTAACCTCAGGACAGGCTCTTCTCCCCTCCAGGTTTTCTGGTTTCTGGAGAGTCACTCCAGATGTGAGGCCTGAGAAATTATATTCTTTCCCAAATATTTGTTTCCATTAGATTTTTTGAATAGCTTTATGGGACATATCCTGTCTGTAGTGGCCAAATTCTTGTCCTTGGAGACTTCTTCTGGCACTGCAGCTTCAGTGTGAAACTGTCTTCTTGTTTGTCACCCTTAAACATGTGGATTTGTGTTTGGCCTCCTCTTAAGAGGCAGGGAGAGCACCACTCAACTGCCTCTTGTCCATGCCAAACCTTTGAAATACAGAGCTGGTCTAACAATTTCCACAGAAGCCAGTGGCCTCCTCTTTCTCCCTCCAACATCCTCTAAATAAGCATTAAAGCCTCAACCACTGCCAATGAGGTGACCCCTCGGAATGACTCTATTATGGTTTTTATAGAATAACACAATGTTTTCCTGTGCTTGCATTAATAGAGGAACAGTTGCATTGTAATTAGTATTTATTTTTCAATAAACGCCTTGAACTTCCCTGTCCTGCTGCTTCCAGGGGAGATCTCAGCCCCAGGTACTCAGGGAAGTTAGCAGGGAAGTAGAGAAGGGTGAGACCAGAGGCACCCAGAGGAGGACAGTATAAAACCCCATAAATGATCATCTCATAAAGCCTCTAATCAGTGTTTATGAACTTCCTCTGCTAACACACAGGCACTTGTTTTTCCAGGATGAGAGCCCGTGTTTACTGTGAAGACTTTCTGTTCCCAAAGGTGCACAGAACTATGGCAGAGCTGTGGGGGATTTACTCCAAACCTGTCCCAGCAGACAGCAGAGAGCTATGCACCTTGTTCCTGCAGTGCTCCTGCATTACAGCAGTGATAGGGGGCCTCTTTTACAACTGGATGTTTGCTTCCCTGGAGTACTCCTGGCCCCTCTCCGTTGCCATAGCCATCTCCTTCAGCCTGCTGCTTCTCCTGACTCTCTTTCTGGTGCATCCTGCCCGTTGTGTCTTCACCATGATCATGCCCACCTTAGGCACCAAGCAGGGCCGGAAGCTTCTCTTCTCCACCTGCATCATGATTGCGGTGGTGAACATAACACCCAACATCATAAGCAACATTAAAACCATACTGCAGGTCATCCAGTGCATCTGCAAGAACTCCTCTGACAGCCTTCTGAACTCAACTGCCCTGCTGCAGAAAGTTTCCTGGGAGTTTGCAGATGCAGTCCAAGAAGCCACTCATCCCATTTATAAGCCTATGAATGGACATGTTCACTTTTCATTGTTGCAGAACAGCTCCTTGATTTACCAAAAAATGCACCTTGCTGGTGAGAAAATTAGCAGAGAGTTCTTGTCTGTTGAGGTACTGGTCAAAGACTCAGTACGAGCAGCCAACAGACTGGCTGCTGGATTCCTCATGCTCTATCTCTGCTTTGAGTCCACCTGGTATTTGAAAAATTATCTCACCAACCTCCGCTTTGACAATTTTTACATCACCAAGAAGCTGGAACGTTTAGCCATGGACAGAAGAGCAGCTCATCTCCTGGTGGGCTCATCCAAAAAACTCATCAGACCAACAGGCTTGAAGCTGACCAGGGAGGAAGCGGTGCTGTGCCTCGTGCAGGCCATGCTGGTCACCGTGGCCCTGATGCTGATGCTGGTGCTGGTGGCCATGGACCACTTTGCCTTCAGCGTGGCAGACACGGCGGTGAGAAAGGCAGCGCAGTTCTCTGCAGTGCCTGTCACTCTCAGCATCAAATACAAGGTGAGTCCTGGGGTGTCCTGCCCTGTGTGGGGACCCCGTGCCCCTTCAGGGAGGGGGTAGTGGGGATTGCAGCCTTTGTACTCCTATTTACACAATCCTGACTTCCCTTCCCAGCAGCCAGCAGGATGAGCAACAGGCTTTGGGGAAGGAGGCAGTGGCACAACCTCAGCTGCTCCTCCCAGTGCATCAAATAGCAGCAGACACTCTGCAAGTTACAGCCCCGTGGGAGCTTGGAGGGGAGCAAATAGTGCCTCATGCTGCAAAGGCACTGCTAGACCAGGCAGCCAGATGTCCTTGTGTCTCCATGTGACAGTGGTCACAGAGGTTTTCAGGTGAAGGGAGAGATGAGAATGTTGACTCCATGTTCAGAAGGCTTGATTTATTATTTTATTATATATATATTACATTGTAACTATAGTAAAAAGAAAAAGAAGGAAAGGTTTCCTCAGAAGGCTAAGCTAAGAATTGAATAGAATGAATAACAAAGATCTGTGTCTCGGACAGAGAGTCCAAGCTATCTGGTCTGTGGTTGGCCATTAATTGTAAACATTCAAGATGACCCAATCACAGACAAAACCTGATGCATTCCACAGCAGCAGATAACCATTGTTTACATCTGGTTGCTGAAACTGAAGGAAGGGGGCAGCTGATGAACACTGAGAATGTCTCCTCATCCTATTGCATGGGCTGTTTCTTCAGTAGAAATCCCTGCTTGCTGGCTTTGTCCTTGCCCTCTTCAGTCCTTCCCACAAACCTTCCCAGTTTCTAACTCAATATTCTTTGGCTTGATGTTTGAACTTTCCTCTTCTGCCACACAGCCTGCCTCCTTCCCCAGCCCGGGATCCTTACTGCTGATACCTGCTTATGATGGATTTACAGGAAAAGAGTCAGGGCTTAGAAAAAGCCTCTAATATTCAGATATTTAGCCACTAATACCATGGTCTGGATGGTGTCTTTCACCATAAATCTCACACATGTTATGATGTCTGTTCCAATGGATGAAGATGACACATAGGGCTGGCTCTCAGCTTACCCAGTGCTCAGTGCCTGCACTTTGCACTGTTACTCAGCCTGAAGTGGTCACATGTCACTACAGGACACAAAACAACACCACACACACACACTGCTGTGAAAAAAAAGGGAAGTGTATTTTGTGACTCTAACATTTATAGATTTCTAAAAGTGACATAGGATTGGAGAATGAAAGTGCCACTTCTCCAATGACACTGGACAAAGTAACAGTCTATCAAATTTCTTTTCTTCTATAAAAGAATGTAAAACAATAACTTATTTGCAGAAAGTGTGTGAGAAAGTTTGTGACAAGAATGTAAACATCAGAAGGCTTGGAAAATCTTAAAAATTCAGGGCAACAATCACACCCTTCAGTGTCCTTCTCTTAGTGCTATAACAGTGATTCCACCCCCAAGATGCTTTTGTAGTAACCAGTAGATTTTGGTTTCTTCATACCCCAATTGGTTTCTTCATACCAAAATGGATTTACTTTTCAACTCTCCCCTTTTCAGGCTGAAATGAGAATCGTCCCCTTTCTATACAAACTTTTCTGGCGTCCTCCTGAGGCCTTGCTGCTCAGGGACTTCGACAAGACCTACCACCACCAGCTGATCTTCAGCTCTGCCCAGTGCAGGATCAGCCCCCCCGGGCCCCCCAGCCCCTCAGTGCTGCTGGTTGTGGGGCTGCTCTTCTGCATCCTCTACGGCTCCGCGCTGCTGGAGCCCCTGGCGCGCCGTCTGTGCCGCGCCATTGCCGCCTCCTTCTTCCAGGGCCGCGAGGACGAGCGAGTGCTGCACCTCTACGGGAAACTGGCCAGGAGGCACAGCAAGGAGCAAAGCCCTGCCAAGGGTGCCTGGGGAAGCCAGGGGTATGGCTGCGTGGCTGGTACCACAGCACGGGCTTCGGCCGCGGGATCGCGCGGTTCGTTTTCCAGAGTTCGGGAAGTGTTCGGAGCTTGGGAAAAAATACTAAAAAAACCCCAACAAAGCCTTAAAAAATCCCAACCCTAAAAAAGAAAAAAAAAAGTTGAATTGTTATATTTTTGCATTAATTTGAGGAAAATGGGCTACATTTCCATTTTAATGTCTATAAGAAGGTCTGGAATCAGCTGTTGCATATCCGCAGCACTAGGCAAGGCTAACTGAGAAATAGATGGGAGTTGGAATTAGGGAGGAGCTCATTTACCTTCTCCACCACATCTGTGCTGGAAGAAGTACATACTTCCTTTCTTTCATAAGTTATACCTTCAGACAACAAAAATTGAAAGTTGTCTGACTTGATACATTTAATTTTCAATGAGTTTTTCTTTCAGGTTTTGTGCACAGAAGCCTGGGTATACCAGATAAATTTAGTAGTTTATTCACCAAAGAAAGTGTCATTCCAACCTGCTGAAGTAAATTCAAGATCAATATGACCATGAGAGGCACACCCTGGGCATGGGTGGTGGAAATCAGCATATGAGGGTTTTACAAAATCTCTCCAAAATGGCTGTTCAAAATAAAGTAGTGATAAAATAGCTGCAGGACCTCAGAAGAGAATGAGAACAGTCAATAAAGGTCAATGGGTGTTGAGCTCTTTTCCCAAGTAAGAAGTGATAGGATGAGAGCAAACAGCCTCAAGTTGTGTCAGGAGAGGTTTAGATTTTATATTAGGAAAAAAATTCTTCAAGGTTTACCAAGCACTGGCACAGGCTGCCCAGAGCAGTGGTAGGGTCACCATCCCTGGAGGGATTGAAATGACACAAAGATGTGGAATTGGGGACATGTATTAATGGTCCCTTGGCAGTGGGTTAATCGTTGGATTCCATGGTTTTAAATGTTGGGCTGTTTCAAGCTCAGAAAATATGTTATTGTATCTGAATTAATAAATGCATCACTTGGGCAGCATCTGAAATGTGTTATTTTTCCTAGAGAGGCAGATTGGACACCTCTGTAGGAGGCAGAGGAGAGGAGATAAATCCCTGCCAGGTTAAAAACTAAACAACTTCACAGCTTCATTTCTTCGAAGCATATCTATTATTTTCCTCCCTTCTTCCATTAAAGCCTTCATTAAGGTAATTATTTGACATAATGCACCTCAATGAGATTAAATGACAGAAATGAAGTGGTTGCTGCTGCCAGATGCACTGAATTTTCTCATCTTCTGAGGTACTTGAAACAAGTATGTTTGGATTATATTTTTTTAAGCACCTATCTTACAAAACCCTGGTGAATTCATCTCCCCAGGGTTTTTAATGCCCTGTTGTTCTGATGGTTAATCCAAGCATCTTTGTGCCTCTACAGCAGCTGGGGGCTTTGTCATGGTGTTTCTGTAGAAAATGCCCTGTGCTCTATGGTTTGGGTGAAAGCAAAAAGATTTCCACTGAATAGCTGAAATTATCTGGAGCTGGGGTTCAAACAGCTGGGAGGAGAGAAGCCTTCAGACAGCAAACCATCCCAGCAACATGCTGTCTTCCAACAAAAACAACTTGAAAAGGAGTTTTTCCTCAGAAGACTTATCTTTTTGACATCAGCCATGTTGTCCCTGGTGCTGAATTGGGCTGTATTTAATGTTTTCCCCAGACAGGGGAACTGGCAGGAGGCAGAGCTGCTGGAAATTGCTCTGCCCTCCTGAGAGGCATTGTTCCTCAGCCAGATAAAGGTGTGACAAAACAGAAAACATTGCCATTATAAAGCTGTATTGCCCACTGGAGGGGTGAGCTGCCTTACCAAGGTTTGCTTGATGGTGCAAGAGAGAAACGCTGAGCAGATTAACCAGCAGGAAACGTTAATTTATTCACATATTTTTTATTAAGTAGAACCAATGTACAAGTCTGGTTATTTGCTAAGGGATTTTCATCCCTCAGAGCCCTTCTACACTCACACCCTCACTCCTGCTCATCAGGGCCGTCATTGCCTTTGTTTTCAAGCCCCTGAAGCCCCTGATTCCCTTGGAATTTTGTTGTGTATTTTAGTGAAGGAATGGAGGTGAACTGACTCCATTTCCTCATGTATATTAGGTAAAATAAATGTTAAGTTCTTTTTATGGCTGGCTGTAAGTCAAGAATGAATGCCCTTAATATACTGAGGTGCAAGTGTAAATAATCCAGCTCAGACAGACTCTAGGAAACATCTCATTCATAGCCACAAATCTGCATCTATCACAACAGACAGGCAAGCAAACAAAAAACCTTTCTCCAGAAGTATTTTGTGATTTTTAAGCAAACTCCATTTTTATTTTGTTTATCCTATCTATATTATTTGCACTGCAATTGCAATGGAGAAGAGACACTTCCGTGCACCAAATTTTAGAAAAGGAAATATTACTGAACATTAATAATAGCAAAAAGCTACTTCATCAGGTGTGCAGAATGTGCTGTACCAAGTACTTGTTGTTACAGAATTATGGTGTTGACATTCAGATGTCACAGAATATGAAATAACCCATAATTACAGTCTAATTGTTCTGCCAGAGTTTTTATTCCTTTGTAATATCACACGAAGAGCTTTTATCTCCCCTCAGCATTATTGTGGCTGTTATCCCCCCAGGATGCCCCTCCAGCATTCATCCACCCAGATGAGTGTTCCGGGAGCTGCCAGTCTCTGTCCTGGCTGCAGGCACATCCTCCCTTGCACACTGGGATGGGGGATTGAGGTGGGATGTGTCACAGACACTGCCCCAAAAGCACATCAGAAGATGTGTCATTTCCACAGCACACCTCCAAGCCTTGCTGCTTCTGGCAAAGGCTCAGCTTTGGCTTCCCAAACCACAATTTCCTCTTACAGACATCAAGGCTCCAGAAAGAGTGGAGCTGCCAGTGCTTCCATTTCTTTGTGCGGCCCTGAAAGCCAACACTTCCACCTGCTTCTCTCCATTTGCTTATCCAGGCAGATTTCCTGGAGGATTGAGCACACTGGAGCAGGTGGCAGAGTTTATTGGTGACAGCAAGAGTTGTGAACCCTGCCCTGCTGCTGTGGCTGATGCCCAGGTCCTGCAGGGCTGTGGGGTGTGCAGGTGATGCCATCCCTGGGTGTTGGGCTCAGTGGGAGGGGAAGGGACACTTTGGGCCCATTCTCCTGAGCACCTCCAGGCTCCCACAGCCAGCCCAGAGCAGCACTGCTGGTGACACAGGGTGAGGGATCCCCTGGGATGACAATGTTTGTTTCCACCGGCTGTATAAAATACACTGTGTCCCCCACACACACTCAAACCTGCACAGAGCATCCTTTCCCATGCTGGTATTCTCTGCAGAGCTGGATAAATGCCCAGTGGTTTGGTTCATTGACTTATCAAATCAGTCCAATGCATGTTGCCACAGATTTATTATTCTGGGTTTTTTTTTTTACTATTCAGGCTGCCCAGCCCTTCCAGGAGCCACCTGGAGCAAGCAGAGTTTGAAGGATGCACTTATCAAAATATTAGTAGGGACATACTCAGAAATGAGAGGTTTGTGAATGGCTGGCCCAGGCCAAGCCTCTCATTTGCAATATCTGTTTTCATCTGTTTGATAACTCTGGGGCAGTGAGAGGCTTTTTCCTTGAGGTCTCAGGCTGCAAACACAGCAAGGAAGCAAGGGAAGGGTGAAGGGATAATTTTCCTGTTTGTGAAATGGCCTCACTTGACTTTCTTTAAAAGCTCAAATTACAGTTATTAGCTGAAGAAAAATCACCAGTTCCTTTGTGTCTTGAAGGCATTCGTAAGACACAGTGCACCACAGATTGAACAGCAACAGATCTTTAAAAGAGATTGTTCAAACCAGAGAGGAAGGTACCCAGAAGCCAGGAGGAAACTGCCAGTGAGACAGGGAAGAGAGGATCCTGAGAGGACCCACAGAGCTGCCTGTGCTCCCTGAACCTGGAATTAACAAACTGTCCTCATATGAGCATGGGGAAGCATCCTTTCCCTGGGACAGCTCTTCCCCAGGCTCCATGTTACAATGAGAGGTTGGAGCTCCTGGCACCACCAGGTCCATCAGGCAACCCCTGCCTGTGCTGGGACCTGAGAGGAGAGCCTGAGGAAATTCTCATCTTTAAACCTGGAATGGTTTCATCCACATCACTGCCTTCCCTCTTTATTGTTTTCCATTCCTTCAGTCTTCAGCATTTTCCATAAAGCTGTTCCCTTCCACATTGCTGGCATGGATGTGATGCCACCAGGTCTGTAAGCTGCTCCCTCTAGGGCTGTTCACAGAAACCAGTAGAAAACCACCAGGGTTTGGGATTTTTTTTTTCACATTTTTGTGATCATTAAGCACAAACCCAGATCAATTTTGCATCTGTTTAATTCCTGACAGCTGCCTTTTTTGCTTGATTTCTGAGGGCAATAACCCAGAAAGCCCCAAAGCAATTTACTCATTGCCTGTGACTCTGAAACAGTGAAGGTGATTTTGACAGAACTTCTCTGTCCTTTGTCTTTCTGACTGAACAATCCCTGCTGCTTCTGTCAGACTGGCCCATTCCCCATCTCCATTGGCACCTGTCAGCCCTCAGGCTGCTCAACAGAGCCACCAGCACCCTCCTGCTCCCTGCTGAGCTGCAGGAGTGCACAAGTGGGAATCGCTTCCCCACCACCACTCACAACTCAAAATTTGGCCATTCCCTAAACCCTGTCACCAGGGTTTCAAAATCACTTGTGGTTTCTGTAATTGCACTTCTCCACATTCACTGGCACCACGTGGACATTGCCACCTCTGTGCCCCAGCTCTAGCAGCAGAAGTTTTATGGATTTAATATTTGTAACAATGAAGCCCAAGGGAACAGAAAGAAGTTTTTTGCAGATTTAGGTAGGAGGATCACTTTCTTTCAGCTCTGTTTGTTTAATATACGAAACCTCAGAGTTCTTTCTGTTCATAGGACTAAGGGAGCTGCCCAGTGAGGCTGTGTGAGAGGGATGAGCTGCAAGAAAACTTCATGGACATCCTGAAGGCAGTGCTAAACTGCCTGAGCCCCCAGCCTGGGCACAGTGCTGCTCACCTGGCCATGGAGCTGCACAGACACCATCCTTTCTTTAGGATTTTTCCTCCTGAGAAGCTGAGAGACCTCAAGAACAAAATGTAAACAATGATTATCTGCTGCTGTGGAATGCAACAGGTGCATCTGTGATTGGTCCATGTTGGATGTTTGTAATTAATGGCCAATCACAGTCAGCTGGCTCGGGCAGAGAGTCCTAGACAGAATGTTATCATTCTATGCTATTCTATTCTTAGCTAGCCTTCTGAAGAAATACTTTTTTCTATTCTTTTAGTATAGTTTTAATGTAATATATATAATAAAATAATAAATCAAGCCTTCTGAAACATGGAGTCAGATCCTCATCTCTTCCCTTATCCAAAAACCCCTGTTTACATAGTCACAGACACCCCTTTCCAAAACCAGCCCTGCCAGCACCCAGGAACATGGCCATTCCCATTTAGAGACCTCAGGAAAATTAAAATTTCTCTTTGCTGATGTTCAGAGAGTGGGTGGTGGCAGGTATTCATAGATGGCAGTGCCAGGTGATTCCAGCAGAGAAGAAAATGCTGATGCATGCTAAAAGAACAAAATATGGAATTTTAGTTAAAAAAAAAATCAATGGCCAGCAAAACATTTACATTTAAGTTAAACTGGAAGAAAATAGTTTTGCAAGCGTCAAGCTGGGTAGCCTCTTAAATACACACCTCAGTCACATCCTGAACATCACAGTTACTGAAGGAGTCTGTAAAGGGAATATTAACCAGACATCAGAGCAAACCTCACAATTTTGACACAGAATCCCCCAGTGAGTGCACGGGGCAGACACACATTCCCCCAGCCCAGCCCCAGCCTGGGGATGGACACAGAGCAGCTCAGGCACAGGCAGGAGGAGCTGCTGCAGTGGGTGCTCTAATGCTGCTGTTATCTGCACTAATAGCTGCTGGACTGTCTGTGCCACAGAGCAAAGCAGCCAGGGAAATAATTACCTGCAATTATGCTGCACTGTGTTCCAGGTCTGAACCAAAACAAAGCTTTTTCCACTACTTGTAGGAGTCTGTCTTGATTTTGCTTCCTGATCCCACAAAGCCAATTCCTGGAATGGGTTTGAGGAAGCAAATGAACACCAACCCCCCTCTCAGGACATTTGAGCCACATTTGTCCCTCCTCCTCCTCCTCCACACACAGTTCTGTGACACAGTCCCCATCCTGAGGATGTGCAGCATTACTGTGAGACAGCAGCAGTGGGATGAAGTGCTGTAATTGTGTCTGAGCACCAAAATAGACAAGCCCTTGGCTTATGTGAGCAAACACTTGTGCCCACACTGCCAGTCCTTCCCACGGAAGGGCAGTGAGGGACAGGAGCTGCCATGCCCCCCAAACCTGGGGCCATAGAGGGTGTGAGGCTGCCAGTGGAGCCCTAAGGAAACCACATGGAAAGAGAAGAGAATAATTGTCCTTTAAAATTGACCCATAGGTGAAGGAAATATCATGGGAAGAAGTAAAAGCCTACATGGATTATTGTCTGCCAAAGAGCAGCATAAAGTTTCCCAAAGCAAAGGGGAAAATGCTATTTGCCACAGCAAGTGAAAGCCTGGGGACAGAGAGCTGCTCCTTGGGCTGAGGCAAAAGGCATTTTATCCACCCGGGTTTGTGCAGCCCAGGTTTAAAATTTTGCCTGTGAAATGCTGGACTTGAATCCCTCAGAATCAGAATGATCCTTCACACTTTGGATATGTGCCTCAGTGTCTGGGATTAACAGCACACTTCTGCCTTTAATTGATATCCAATCTAATAAAAGAGAGAGATCTCCCCTTGTCCTTTCCTTCACTCCACAGGTTAGGGGCCCCTTAGCACAATTGCTCTTTCAATTTGAAAGTGCATTTTCTGACAGATTGCAGAGATGTCAGGAGAGAGCATGGAGCTGGCAGCAAATTGTGTTTCCTGCTGACCACCAGGGAGACACTGGATCTCCCAGCCTGACCACCAAGGAGATACCAGATACCCCAGGCTCATTGCTGGAAGGATTTGGAATCTCCCAGTCCAGGACTGGTTAAGTCTTCTCCCTCAGAGGTGACACTGTGCTTGCTTGGGACTGTGGTGGTGTTCACAGGTGTCCCAGGGTGAGGAAAGAGATGAGAATCTTGACTCCATGCTTCAGAAGGCTGATTTATTATTTTATGATGTATATTATATTAAAAGAAAATGATATATTATAACTATACTAAAAGAATAGAAGAAAGGATTTCATCAGAAGGCTAGCAAGGAATATAATGGAATGACAATAAAATCTTGTGACTGAGCAGAGAGTCCGAGACAGCTGGACTGTGATTGGCCATTAATTAAAAACAACCACATGAGACCAATCAAAGATGCACCTGTTGCATTCCACAGCAGCAGATAATTCTTGTTTACATTTCGTTTCTGAGGCCTCTCAGCTTTTCAGGAGAAAAATTCTGGCAAAGGGATTTTTCAGAAAATATCATGGCGACATGGGACAGGGATGGCTACAGGAAAGACAGCATGAGGAGGTCACTGCCCCATGTTCAGGAGTGCAATTCCTCTGCTCCAGCCCCAGGTAAATGGGAAAGGCTGTGGATCTCACTGGCATCTCTGCTCCCATCCTCCTGAGGATGAGAAATAAAGGATTCCTCACCCTCAGCTCCACTTGCCCTGGGGTGTCACAGACACATTTTCTGAAAAATCCTTTCCTTAGGATTTTTTCTCCTGAGAAGCTGAGATGCTTTAAGAACAAAATGTAAACAATGATTATCTGCTGCTGTGGAATGCAACAGGTAAATCTGTGATTGGTCTCATAGAGTTGTTTGTAATTAATGGCCAATCACAGTCAGCTGGCTCAGACTCTGTCCGAGACACAAGCTTTTGTTATCATTCCTTTCTTTTTCTATTCCTTGCTAGTCTTCTGATGAAATCCTTTCTTCTATTCTTTTAGTATACTTTTAATGCAATATATATCATAAAATAATAAATCAAGCTTTCTGAAACATGGGGTCAGATCCTCGTCTCTTCCCTCATCCTGGGACCCCTGCGAACATGGTCACACTGGGGGACAGCGAAGCCTCGGCTGGGGACAAAGACACCCACACTCCAGGGTCCCACTCAGTGCTGGGCTGCTTTCAGCCTGTGCTCCACCCCACCCTGGGATCTCTCACCTGCGCTCCCATCCCCTGCCCGGGCTCCTCTACTCCTCCTCCGGCTCCGGCTCCGGGCGCGCTGGGACCCGGCGGGCTCAGCCGGGGGATGCCGGCTGGAGGCGATGCGGGGTCCGGGCACCGAGGTGGCCCTGGGGGGCTGCGGGCTGTCCTGCGGGAGGGCTGGTTCCTCCCGGGGGTCCCGGCCGCCAAGGGGAGCGCTGGAGAGCCCCGGGAGCCAGGGGTCCGGACAGTCCCGGCTAGAGGGTCCCGGGAGCCGCTCCCTGCCCCTCCGGGAGGAGAGTTTGCAGGGGAGGAGGATGCAAGAAGCAGGGAGACTGCAAGACCTGGGGTGAATCGTGGAAAAAAAAAAGGAGGAGGGAGGAGCCGGGGTGGGCGGGAATGCGGGGAGGGGGCTCGGGGCAGCCCCGGTCCCCGCTGCCGCCGCAGGGTGCGCGGGGCTCCGCCGATGGATGCGGGCACGATGGAGAACGGCTCGGCCAGCGGCAACCAGAGCCTGGGCAGGATGCCCCGGCAGCCCCTGGAGCTGCAGGTGGTCACCATCCTGCTGGTGCTGCTCATCTGCGGTGTGGGCATCGCGGGCAACGCCATGGTGGTGCTGGTGGTGCTGCGCACCAAGCACATGGTGACCCCCACCAACTGCTACCTGGTGAGCCTGGCCGTGGCCGACCTCATCGTGCTGCTGGCGGCCGGGCTGCCCAACATCTCCGAAGTGGTGGCTTCTTGGGTGTACGGCTACGCCGGCTGCCTCTGCATCACCTACCTGCAGTATCTGGGCATCAACATCTCGGCCTGGTCCATCGCCGCCTTCACGGTGGAGCGGTACATCGCCATCTGCCACGCCATCAAGGCGCAGCTCCTGTGCACCGTGTCCCGCGCCCGCCGCATCATCGCCTCGCTGTGGCTCTTCACCTCCCTCTATTGCCTCATGTGGTTCTTCCTGGTGGACACCACCCAGGTCACCTTCTCGGACGGGGCGCAGGTCATCTGCGGCTACCGGGTCTCCAGAAACCTTTACATGCCCATTTACTTCTTGGATTTTGCCGTCTTCTATGTCATCCCGCTGGGGCTGGCCACTGTCCTGTACGGCCTCATTGCCCGCATCCTGTTCGTGAGCCCCCTGCCCGGCACCCCGCAGCAGCAGCACTCCTTCCTGGGCTCCGTGCACCTGGGCAGCTCCCTCCGGCTCTCCTGCCGGGGCACCAGGGGCGCCCTGAGCTCCCGCAGGCAGGTAGGGGCTGGGTGTGCCGGGCTCGGGGCTTTGAGGGGTGTTCTGGCAGGGAGAGAGGTGCCACAGTGCTTTGTTTGCCTTGCTGGAGGAAGTGGGGAGGGTTGGTTTGCTGCTAAGGAGCCCCTCAAGCCCTGCTGGGGTCTGGTAGCATGGATGGGCGCCTCCTGCTTTGGTTGGGCTTGGTAGAGCAGGACAGGGCTTCAGATGGAGAGGCAGGAGTGCAAGCACTTGTGCTGGCTACTCAATTACTGATTGCCTCCCTGAGGAGGAGAGGGCTGGGTCACCTCTCAGACAGTGTCCTGTGCATGTGAACTCAGATTTAAAGGAGCAAAGAGAAGGGAGAACTGTCTTGCCTTGGAGCCCAGCCCTGGCTGCAGCCAGCTAGGTGAGTCACCTCGGTGTCACAATGGTGTGCTTGCATTTTGGTGATTCCTGTGTCTCTCAGCTGCTTGCTTCTCCCCACGTCCTTCTCCTCCCACCTCCTTCTGTCCTCACTGCTCTGTTCACATGGACGATCTCTGCCTCGTGTCCCATCCCTTTGGACAGGTCAAACATGGGACAGTCCCATTCTGAATAGCTAGGGCCCATTCAGCTTTCCTTTTAAAGGAAAGGGTTGAATCTGGGAGTTTGGCTCGAGTCCTTGAAATCACTAGTTCTGTTGTGATTTGCAGATAGCCCAAAGTAGACTTCAGCCTGTCCTGTTTCCAGCTCAGTAGCTTGTTGCCTGCCTTGCAGAGGAACCTCCATTCCCAGGAGAGATGAATCAGGGTCACAGAGAGGAAGCAAACAGCTCAGAGAACGTGTGTTTCTTCATGAACTTCTAAGTCTTTCCAGTCCAGATTTTCCTTCCTTTTTTTCTGAAAGGTTTAAAGCAAGTTCTGACTTCTAAAGCATTTGCCTGCTCTCCCATGACCACTGGCTGCTGCAGGAGCCTCGGGCAGGGTGTTTGGCAGCGAGGGCTCTTGACTGGTTGATGGATTTCTCCTTCCAGAGCAGCTGCTGGAGGGGCTGTGCTGCTCCCCCTGCAGTGCTGTGCCATGGAGGAGCACAGTGTGATCCAGCACCATTAGGACAAGTGGCTGCTGAGGCGTTCCAGCTCCTGGAAACATCTTGTGCTCTCTTCACTGTTACACCAGGAGTTTACTGGAGATTCTCATTACCTCCCAAAATATCCTAGCATGCAAAGACTTCCCCTGAGTGGCCTGACATTGCAGTGCTGCTATCACAAGGGATAAAGATATCACTAAGTTTTTAAACTGTAAAGCAGTTTTCCAGGATTTCCAGCTGGTGTGTGTGTAGCTCTGGAGGTGCCTCTGAACAGAGGACAGGCACTCACATCAGCATTCCTGCTCTGGCCTCTCTTTATAGGGGAACTGGCTCTTCCAGACCCCGTGCCCAGAGTTCCCGGCAAAAGGTCCTAAAGGGGCTCTCTCAAAGGTGCCCATTTTCTCCCCTGCCTGGATGGCTGAGACAGATTTTCTGTGGCTGTGCTCCGAAACTGCACTATTTTTGGGATATGAAGATGTTGTTCTCTCACTGGGGCTTCAAAAGTACCTGAATCCTGAGCAGGACAACACAAGGTGTTTGTATTTATCACTTCAACGAACACCTCCAAGTCCGTATTTCTCCTCCCGGAGAGGGACCACTAGAGGGAGTGGGATTCCTAAAAAAAGGATGTACAACTCCGAATGATGGAGCAGGAGCAAGGAGGGAGGATACTGGCTGGGGAGAAGCATCTGTGGCTCCCTGGACTGAGCTTTGAGAGACACCACTTGTACCTTCTCTCATATCTTTCCCAAAAGGCAAAACACAGTGGCAGAAAACAAGCTTCAGTCTTAGCAACAGCCTCAGCACTCACTGTATCACTGTGAGAGCTTATTTTTGGAAATGTCCTCACATTTCCATTTATCCACACACAGCAAACCCTTCTATTTCAGCCACAGCTTGGTAACAGTTCCTCTCTTCTAGGAGAAGTTTTGTTGTCACAAACAGTGACTCCCGGTTTCTACTCACGGCATAACAGAAAGGCACGGTTTCTTTTGATGAAGTAAAAAAGCACTCCAAAAAAAGCTGAGAGACTCTAAATGTGATCCCAGTGCTTATTTTCATACTAATAACTAGATTATTGCACAACTTCCCTTCTGACGTTTGAAACACCACTGCCTAGATTTGCATGTGGCATCAGTGTTTAGTCATATTTTCTTCTTTGGAATGTGTGTATTTTGTAAGTAATTTGTTTGAGGAAGATTGTCACTTAGCAGATTGTCAAGAAACAGCTGTTGAAATTACTAGGATGACTGGTGTTTCAGAAAAACCCCAATTTCCTAAACAAGTTTATGCTGAGCTGAGGGCAGTTATTGCTCACTTCTGAGTTCTCAGTTTCTTTTTGCTCCCAATATGACTATGTAGTACTCCACTAGCGTGCTGAAAATTAAAGTAACCCATGGTAAGCAGCTAACTAACCCTATATCAGCACAAGTAATATAAGATTCATAACAGTCTCCTCTGCTTCCAGGGTTGCTCTGTACCAGGAGCCTATTCCCTGGAGCCATATGGGTGGTGTAGGAAACCAGAAAACCCTAAGGATGGAGATGAAGTGTATCCCATGGCACCCCTAAAACCAAGGTCCCCACCTTTAGAGAAGTATTCTTCCCATTCATTTACTGTTATGTACAATTTTCAAATTTGCTTTCTGGTACAGACATTCCTATAGTTATCCTGGCCCGCTTCCAGGATGGTGAATACTTTCTCTAAAGAGATTTAGAGGCTCTTCAATGGTAGATGAAAACCTATAATTTCTGGTTTTATTTATGCAAGATTATTCCCTGATTAAAATGGAGAAAAAAAAAGTGAAAAATAACCCCGTGGCTTGGGTGTTTCTTTTAAATGCTTAGAGAGAGAAACTAGCTGTCTGCAGCAGTGCTCCAGGTGGGAAAGTTTTGCTGTGGGGAAAGTTCTGCTGGAGGCAAAGTTCTGCAGGAGATTTAGCCCCATCTGGCTGTTTCTCTTTTTGATGTCCCCCACCAAGGTGACCAAGATGCTGGCAGTGGTGGTGGCCCTCTTTGCCGTGCTGTGGCTGCCGTACCGCACGCTGGTGGTGGTGAACTCCTTCGTGGACCCTCCGTACCTCAACACCTGGTTCCTCCTCTTCTGCCGCCTGTGCATCTACCTGAACAGCGCCATCAACCCCATCATCTACAACCTCATGTCACAGAAGTTCAGGGCTGCCTTCAGGAAGTTGTACAAGTGCCAGGAGAAGAGTGCAGAGCACCCTGCCCCCTGCGCCACCCCGGTGTACTACAGTGCTGTGAAGGATTGTTCTCACGACAGCTCTGAGCACAACCTCACCGAGCAGGAGGATCTGAGCAGGCTCCCTGCACCAGCAAAGAAGAATAAACAAATCCTGTGAGCCTGAAACAATGCAGGCAGTGGGAGCTGTGTGGCTGTGCATACTGTGCTGGGAGAGTGCCAAGAGGAATTGCTTTGGCATTGTGGCAAGCTTCATTCAATATTTCTTCAGGGCATTTAACAAAACATATTGTTATAAGCAAATTAATTTGCTTTTCCTTAGTGCTCATTTATCCTTGTTTGGTGAAGCATTAGGCACGTGTCAATATTTAGCATCTCTAAAGTATCTATTGTTAAATATAGCAGTGCCACCCCATTTTGTGTTAGGGGCAAGTGCTGAGCTGGGCCAAAGCACAGAAAGGAATCCCAGGAACAGAAGGGCATTCAAGGAAAAAATACACTTTGTAAGAGTGAGCCTCTCCTACCCAAACTGACACCCTATGGAAGCTGCTCCTCTGGAGTCCTTCTGAAGTTAATGGGAACAATTAGGCACTTTCATGTGTCTCCTCTCATCTCAATGCTCTTCTGTGAGGAGTACACATCCCTACAGCGGAGATCAGTGCCTCCCAAGGTATGAGGCCATTGGCTGTAAAGGGACTCTCTGGAGGAGACTCCTGCATTAGGAATAACCAAAGTTGGGTGTCATGAGCCTCCTGTCATGTTTCTGGAAACACTGCAGTGCTGATAGCACAGAAACCAAGGTCCAGACCAGATGGATTTGCTACAATGAACAAACTAATAATGAACAAACTAATAATAAGCATTCCTTAATGTAACAGAAGTACTTCCAACGTTGTGGTCTGAGTTTCTTTTGGATAACATTATCTTTCCTGTCCTAATTCCTCTGGTTGTTTCTTGTCCTGTAAGCCCCAGCGTGGCATAGTCATTACCACAGAGAAGTGTTCTCTCTGCCCCAGCTACAGGTGCATTGCAATGGCAGGTGAAGAAATTCTTTTATTTCCTGGGAAGAACTTGTGAAGTCCATTAAGTGTTTTGTGATTAATGACACAAATATTTATTGCTGCTGTCATCTTGTAAGCAAAGTAGATATTCATACCCTGCAGCATCCAGGAAACCAGCCCAAGGACACTTGCCCCAGACTTGCAAGAGACTATCTGGACTATGAGTAAAATCAAAAAGCTTGCAAATGAGCCAAACCCTAGGGCTCTTGCCAAATAAAACAAGTGTCTGCCACCAATAAACCTCAAGTGACTGTGAAGTATTACTTGAACAGCCTCACTAGTCAACACTGGCTTTCACCAAACTATAGTGTTAAAAGAGCCTAGAATTTTGCATCCATTCAGGAAAATATGTGCATGGCATTTTCAAGGGCACAAGATGTTAATTAACCATTCTGCATCTACAGGAAATCGCTTCACTGGGTGAGTCAGCACAAGACCTCAAATCCCCTCAGTGTGTTGGAACTGTCCAGGACCAGGGTTTTTTTGCTTGTAGGGAGATTTTGCATGTATGATTATTATATTGCATGTTATTAAACCATCTATGTTGCCCCTATTTATTTAGATATTTAGATATAGACTATAGATATTAGATTTAAAATGTAGATATTTATTTTGTCCCTTGCTATTTAGATATAGGATGAGGGAAGAGAACATTGTGTTTTTGCAATTATTTTAAACATAATGCATTTGGAATTTAAGGATTCATTTTTGTACTGTTTTGTGTATATTGTATAATGTGAATTTAGGAACAGAGTTCGTATTTATTGTTGTTAAGAAAGCTTTGCACAGAGATTTGTGATTTACTTCCTGAAGAAAATGGAGGAGTTTTTGCTAATGTGAGGATTTGCTTGTAACAATATTTTTTATAGTACAGACTATTTTTCCCTCCTTAGGAGAGGTTTTTCCTTAGCAGCTCAGAGGAAGCCATTGATAAAAGCATGTGCAGACAAACCAGAGCAGTAAGGACCAGGGTAAGGTGGAGCAGGGGAAGGGGATCCCTGGGTGGCTGCTGGTGCCCTCCTGGGACCTTGAGCACAGGCAGCATCTTCTCACAGGCCATGGGATGGGCTGTCCTGTGTCCTCCAGCCCTGCACCCTGAAGCTGTGAGTGCAGGGAGCTGGATGTGGGAAGAGGATTTACTGCCAGAGCTTGGAAACCCACCTGCACCCTGACCTAAGGCACTTCTCAGGCATGGGCTGTGCCGTTTGACAGCCTTGGTCTCTGCAAACACAAGGAGCAGCCGAATTCTGAAGTGTCCCCAGCAGGATGTTTTCCACCTCCTCATCACATTTCCTATCTTCACTGTTCCCCTTTCTGTGTCTCTCCCCAGATGGAGACACCCTAAAAGCATTATTTTCTTAATTCAATTTCAGCCTCAGGCCAACAGCTAATTGAAAGTTCTGAAATATTTGTTCAGCATACTTGAGATTCAATTAAAACCTGATTCTCCACTCCCTTTTCTGCTCTTAGCTGCCAAGGACTGCGTGACCCTTCATTATTTTTTGAGAAGTAATTGGCAGATAAATTCTCCTGGAACCACGAGATCTCCAACAAGTGCAGCAGAGCATTAAACTCTGTAGATGAGGAATGAATTCTGGTCATTCCCCCTGCATGTATTCTGACACTTTAGGAGGAGCTGAGAGACTTTTGGGTGGAAGTGGAGGCAGAAGGTCACCACTCATCTTGCTAAGGAGATGCTGCTTGAGAGATGCATTCTGCTGGGAAATAAATCACTAGCAGAAAGGAATTAAAATAAATAACTCATCACAGCAACTTCCTTTGGATATTCAGGGTCTGAATAAAAACCTTGATTCCTCATAAGAAATCAGAGAGCTCCCTTGAAGCTTCAGCCTGCATTACCTTGTACCTTGCAACATCTCACACTGCTTGTAAAACCTCAAGCTGTATTTTACCCTCAGCATTTATTTGTCTCAACAGCATGAGTGTGGGCTGTGAGTTTATAAACATGCCAGCAAATAAAGAATCTATTGCTCCTAAGTAATTTATTGCATTGAAGTGCAACTCAACATGATCTGACCTGTTACTCTCCTAATTAAAGCTCATTAATTCTAACCCCTGCCCTTTCAGGGGTTGTTAACCTGGTAAAACACCATCTGGTTTCTTCAATTACAAACAAATAAGTCCCTGGCAGGAGAGGAGGGATCTGGCAGTGCTGCAGAGCCCTGGGGTGAGGGAAGAATTTGTGAGCAGTGCAGAGAGGGGGTGGAGGTGGCAGAGGCTTGGGGAAGAGCTGATGGCAGAGTGGTTTCTGTGAGTGAGGTTTCTGTGCTAAAGACCCATAGGTTGGCTGAAGCTCCTGCCATTTATTCAGTTTAGGAGATACCACATCCAGCACATTTACCTGAATTTGGCTGGTGCCAGTGATGGAGGCCACACAGTGATTGCCTGTATGCAGGGCATGGATGGGATCTTAGCAAGGGTTATTTACCCTGGCAAAACACACAAGTTTAAGTAATTTACCAAAATCTGTAGTTCAAGCTCCTATCAGGTTGTCCTCTTACTTTGTCTCTAGATTTGGATGATGGGAAATTGGGAAAATAGGGCATCTATGCCAGCCTGTGCAGGTGGTTTTTTGGGAGAGCCTCTCACCTATGATGCTGCCCAGCATTCCGAAAGCCAGCCTGCTCTAGGGCCAAATTACAGGGTAACCAACAAAATACCAGCAGTCCCCTAAAAAAAGGGATGTAAAGACCATGAGGGTAATCCAGCACCTCCCTGCAAACAGAATAGGGTTCTACTCTGTGGTACCCAAACATGTTTCTAAGATAAAATAGTGGTACCTTTAAATGAATAATATTCAGGTCACCAAAAAGGATGCTGAGCAATTGCTTACATTTTTAAGAGCCACAAGAAAGGGTGGACCACCCATTAGGGAAAGATTCAGATGCAGCCCTTTTTCAATGTGGTCTGGCCCCAGCTGCTTCTTTGAGCTAATTAGTTCAAGCACATCACAATGAAAGAGCTGCTAATAAAACCTGGGGATAGTCCTACAGTAATATTAATGTAATCACTCACAGTTACTTGTTTATTTTGCAATTCCTGTTTCCCAAGGCTTCTGGAGGGCTCTTGGGCCAGTGCTGCCCCCAGACCTGCCTCCAGGCTTGCACTCACTTGGGGGCTGCTCCTCAGGACTCTATAAACCAACTCAAGAGCTGAGTTCCAGAACTGCCCTGGGACACAAACTGGATCAAAGCTGTCCTGTGGGACTGACTTTAATTTACTAAAATACCCTCAGTTTAGCAGTTAACCAGCCCTACACATTTCTATCCTGCCAGGGTCTCAATGAAGGCTTCCATGGGAGGGCATTGCCTGTGCCCCAAATCCAGGGTGCTTTCTCAGATTCTGCCTAAGAGAGGGAACATGGTGGCAACATCACAGGTCCCTGTGCCACAGGTGATAGGCAGAAGTAATAAGGGCAATTTGTGCTTTATAATTGATGAATTATCTTTAATAATCACCCTATGAATTGGGCTCTGAGTGTGCTGTTTCTATAGAGACAGGGGATGCTGTGAGTGCACCAGTGGCTGCTCTGCCAATAGGGAATTAATGCCTGAAAACACAAGCTGTGAGCCTATAAAAGCTTTACCCTCTCAAGGAGAAGGCCCTGGGGTGGTCCTGGTACTAACATGGTTTTGAGGTCCTCAGCAAGGGCCCACTGGGCTCCCAAGCTGGCTGATCCTGTCCTTGAGGGCACACTGTGGCTGTTCAGAGGAAGTAAATTTAAAGCAACTTTTTCCAGCTGTGAGGTGCCAGCATTTCCAACAGGAGAGGAGAGGGTTCCACAGCCCTAAGCTGGGCATAGGATGCCCTTGCTGGTGGTGTGTGTTCCCTGATGTTTTAGGGCTCCTAAGATGTATTAGTGCTCCTGGGGCTCAGGCTAGCTTCCTCCAGGAAGGGTCCTGAAGCAAAGGCAGGGGTGTGGAGCCAGCCCCAGTCCTGGCTCCTGGGCCAGAGAGGACCACAGGAATCCTTCTGCACATTTCAGCCCTTTCTCAGTGTCATCTTCACCCCAGTTCTGACCCTCCCCTTGTTCAAAGATGAAGACCTAAAGAGAGGGTGGCTCCTAAGAGCCCCCATGGCCCACAAGGATGGTGGAGCACAGCGTGGCTGTCCCCAGGATGCCTGGGCAGGTCACTGTCAGAGGACACTGAGGCTCAGATTGCACCTTCCCTCCCACAGTGGAGGGTAAGGCTCCTGCCCTTCGACACAGGATCAGGCCAGTGCCTTTAGCCTGGTTCTCACATATCAGACACTTCCCTGCCTGCCCTTGGGGACACTTGGCTGGGCTCTGTGGGAACATTATCCCTGAAACCAGAAGCCATTGAGGCAGAGCACCCAGCACTGTCCCCCCTATCCTGGGGAAGATGCAGACATTTTGTTTTGCCTTTATTAATACTTTTAAAGCAATGTGTCATTGCTTTAGCAGCAGACCCACCTTCCTCCCTACTCCCTCTGCAACACATGAGCCAAGGACCTGCTCCATTCATCAGCCTGAGATTTATGAGGTGCACAAGGCTCCAGTTACCCTGCTGCCCCTGACTGATGAATGAGATGTAGCTGGTTCCTTCCATACCATAAAGAAGGAAGAGCAGAGGAGAATAAAGCCATTATTTCATCAAACTCAGCTCCTTCAGTCTCTACCAGGGCATGAAATCTTCTGCCATGAGACCCCTCACACCCACAGAAGCAGCACTCCAGCCCATGAAGGCTGAGCCTGTGTCCCCCCAGCCTCTCTGCACAGTCTGGCTTTGCTCATGTGAGACGCTCCAGAAATAGAAAAAGGATTGGAGGTTTTGGCTACTCTGGATTCCTCAGGGCCCTGCTGCCCAGGCTGCTGCTGGGCTCTGCTCATCCATCCTCCCCCATAAATCACCCAGCTGCCATTTCCCTCTGCCTCGTGCCTGGCTTTCCTCTCACCCAGGCTGTCTCCAGAGGCTGAGTGAGAGGCTGGGGCACAGGCAGTGGAGAACCACTCCTCCCCAAAGCCAGGGGGAGCAGCCAGTGTTGCACAGCTCAGAAGGAGCCTGGCAGCAACCCTGGGGTTGGGAGGCAGCAAAATGACCTGTCAGCAGCCATCTGCATGGCCTGGGCAGGCTCTGGGACAGAGAGCTGCCTTCCCTCCTGGCCCTGTGCAAGCCCTGCCCCGAGGCCAGCACCATGGGAGCACATGGAGAGTGCTCAGAGAGTTGCAGGGTCCTTAAAGGCTGCCTAAAAGCATTCAGTGGAAACAACTCTCTTTGCTAAGTATCCCCATCAATTAAAACATGCAAATTTTTGAAACAGATAACTAGAAAAAAGCTAAAAAGCATCCAGATGCCACCAGTGAAATTCTGCATTACTCTCTGCTTTAAAACTAGAGTGAATGTGCCACCGTGGAAAGAAAGAAACTTGGAGATTCCCCTGCAGAAATCCACATGGATAGAGTGAGCAGATAACTGTTTATTATTGCACATAATCCAGCAGAACAACCGACAGAAAACTCTGGACAGTAGTACACAGATTGTAGTAAACAGCTAGCAAAATCTGTGATAAAGGTATTTTTGTGTGAAGAATGAAAGTATCTGCATCTTTGTAAGACCTGAAAAGTATAACACAAAATCCTAGTCAGTTTTGAAAGCATGCAGTTTGAGGTAAATCTGGTATTTTGCATCTAAGAAAATGAAATCCCTAAGGGGCTCTCTCTCTATGTGTTTATATCCATATCTCAGTGCAATATGGATACAGTTATACGTCACATAAAAGCAAATCTACCTACTTTTCTCAGAAGGTTACTAGGAGGAAAGCACATTACTGAGTGCATATCACATGCATAAAAAATAGGAGGGGGGAAGGAATTACCTTGGCACTGTTGAAAAAGTTTCATTTTTGTGCTTAGTGATAAATAAAAGCCCCTCAGGTCTCTCAATGGAAATTGTCTTGGTGGTGAATAAAAGCAGTTGGGATATTGAAACTGCAGAGTTGGCAAGTGAATGCCAGCAAATGGAGACAAAACATTAAAGGCAGCAGAGCCTGGGGTTTGCAATACATTTATATTTAAGGAAAGAAAAAAAAAAAGAAAATAAGCAAACTGCTACTAAACTATGCTCTGTGGAAGTGTAGATGATGCTGCACAGCTTTCTCAGGACTGGTACAGCCACATGGCTTTAGGAAAGGATCACATTCACTTCTCCCACACTTAATACCACATATTTGCTACTGTGGCAATGTTCCTGAGCTCAATAAGGTTAAAAAATAGACTTGGTTCACAAAGAAAAGTACTGAATTATTCTCACTCTCTTATGCCATAACTAGAGTAGATAAATTAGGTAGGTTTTGCCCCATGTCTCCAGTGAGTGTAAACCCCCATGTGTCTGCCATTCTGTCTCTGAAATCCTTTCAGATTGACCTTTGAAGCAGACTGGGCATCTGTTTTTTGCCTTAACTATCATTTCCCCATTCTTTCCAGTCCAACAAAGTTTTCCCACCCAGTCCTGTGCTGTGGGACTTCAGGATACACAGAGGTGCACAACCAACTATAAATAACATCTCTGATTATCTTAAAAAGGGATAGAAAATACACATTGCTCTTAAAAGAAGGAAGAAACATGTCCAAGCACTCAGCCTCACACTAAACTGTAACTTCATCTGTGCCGACTTTCTAAGCTCGCACTAAGGATCAGAGCAGATCATGGTGGAAAAATCTCCTTGCAAAGGTCACTCCCCGTCACAGCTTTGGGAAAATGGGTGCAAACTGCCCAGGCCTCTCAGCCTTGCACACACCAGCAACAGCTACACTGCCCCACTCTTCTCTGCCACTGCTGACAGCCTGGCTGCTGCATATTTCTGAGCCCAACAGCCAAATTACACTTCAGTCACTCACATCTCTGCACCTTTTTTCTTTCAGGCATAAGGTAACCTCTCCCATGATAGCCACCCTGCATCCTCTGCTGGAAAATCTGTTTGTTGGGTGCAATGAGAGGCCAGGACCTCCCGACAGCCTGGCACACCAAGGGGAGGAACCTGCAGATGTACAGTGGCATTTTCAGCAAGACCCTCCTTTTCACTGTAACTCACAACATTTTTATAGAAAAAAAAGGGGTGAAGGGACAAATTCAGCACACCTACTGCCTTTCCCATTACAGTGGGAAGCCACCCACTGCAAGCTGCTTCTGTGAAGAGCATTGTTGGTGGCAGGAAAGTGCTTGGATGGTGCCTGGTCCCAAAAGAGACCCCATCTCCACCCAGGGCACCCCAAAGGCACCAACAGCCTTGGATCCACCAGTCCCTCACACCCCACCCCGCGGCCCCATCCATGGGCAGGACTCGGGTCACACTTCAACAAGCCCAATTTCAACTTGCTCCCCCTCTCAGTCCTCCATACATGGAAAATGATGCCAGGTGACAGGGGAAAGGAAAGACTTTTTGTTCATCCCTCTGGATGACTTCCAAGCACGGAGAGCAGCGCCGTCCACCCCGAGCCACAGCGTGGCTCTCATGAGTCATTCCGCTTGCTGGATTGCTTCATCTCCATGCCATGGATGACAATCTCTGGAAAATCTCTGACACTGAGTCAACCAAGGGAGTTACAAAACACATCAGTGTGCACGTATGAGACCTTCTCACTCATTTTCCTACAGCTACAGATAAATCCCTCATCCCTGGCATGGCAGGACAGTTGATGGCTTTGGTGAGAATAATTTAAGGCAACTGCTATTTTATACAAAGAAGAGGAGACCACAGTGCAGAAACCCTGGTTTTTCCTTGGTAGATTGCAGAGGCCAGCCACAGCCTGGGAGCAGGAAACTGAATTGATCTTCAGACACTCTCATTTAAGGTTGATGTTTGCAGTGCAACCTTGGGATCTCAAGTCCTCCTCTTAGGTGTTTCCAGGTGGCTGAGCTTTAATCCCCGCCAAGGTCTGAGGTCTCCACCAGCAGCAACGCCTGTCCCAGACACAGATAAATAGGAAAGTCAAGGGAGAGCAAAACACATGACCAACACTTTACCACAGCTGCCTGCAAAGCTTCCACCTGGGCAGGCTGAGTGAGACTAAAAACGACAGAAAGCAGTGCCCAGCAGAGTCCTGGGAAAGCAGCCCAATATCCTCACAGGGGCTTAGAAGTGTCTCTTGTGTTCTCATGAGGCTCAAGGGCCACGTTCAGCCTGGATGGCAGATTTTGTTTGAAATATTTGAGCCCAAGTCCTGCGCAAGCTCAGGACACTTTCCTGTCTGTGGGAGTACCACAGGCACAAGAAATCTCACAAGATTTTATTGCCACCAAATCCAAATGTAAACACTTATCCCAATTCAAGTGGAAGACCTGAGCAAGCTCCAGTCTCACATACATCTTGATTCATCTTTATCTTTAGTAAAACAATTAAGTAACTGCTGCAAACTAGTACTGGTGCAATTAGAGCTGCAGTTTTCACAGTTTCACGTTTTTTATGTGTTCTTGCATCTTGCTGGTCTGAGTGCCAAGAAATAAAGTAATGTACAAGTTACCTGGGAGCAGCCATGTTGAAACAGCAAATTTAAAGTGTTTCTTGAAGCATCTGCAGCATTTGCAGTAAACAAATTTCAAATTTAACATCACACACTCTTGCAATGGAATTCTCACTCCATGAAACATGCCCATGGTACTGGGAAGGCAAAACTATATGGTGAGAATGTATCCCACCCACACAGTTCTTAATTTTGAGAAAATGTATGAAATTATTAAATAATTTCATGCAATAATTTTTTGACATTTCTGAAAAGTGAGTCAACCTTAAAACACCCAGTGACATCTACAAATTGAGGGTAAAATCTCTTTCTGCTTCTTACCTTGTTCAAGAGGCTCATCATGTCAAAAAATGTACAAATAGGATGGCCAGACCAATGTTCAGTAAGATGACCATGCAGATCACAATTGTGTTAGGTCCCTGAAAGAAAACCCAAAACAGAGCATTACACAGCACAGCTCCATATAGACATAGCTTGATTCTGCTGCTCAAAAATACCACAATCACCCCCTCCAATGCACTGAAATCTGCACTGAAATTTAACAACCAGCCTGAATTTCAGACTAGTGGAATGTTTATCCTCTCCTATTCCTACTTCTTCCCTGCAAATTCATTTGAAGGATGTGAAATCAGGCTTCTTTTGCAGCTAAATTAGATTAAAGGAGCCCCTGACCACAGGAACATGAACACCTGATCCCATGTCAGGCTGCTCCTCCCAACTCCCTTCTGCATCCACATTGCCTGTGTTTGTAAACTTGTCATTTTTAATATCATAGAATCATAAAATGCTTTGGTTTGGAAGGGGACCTTGAAGGGGACCATCTATTTCCAAACCCCAACAAATGAAACCATGTGAGATTGCTGTAATTTCAGACCAAAGTATTTCCAAGCTGTGCTTTTCTAAAGTCACATCGGAATCATTCACGTCCAAAGGACTTCAAGTTGGGACTCAGAGGGCTAATAAAATGTCTGGGTTTCCAGCTGTATTTGCTAAGAGCAAAATTAAGTTTCAGTGACTATATTTTAAACCTGGGAAATTGGCTGGTGATTCAACACCACAGTTCAGCTCATGAGGTGCCCCTACAGCAAAAAAAAAGTAATGGGTAAAAGAGAAACACACTTGAGCTCTTCCCGGTTTTTTTCCCCTAAACTTTCACATCCAAGTTGGTTGGTAATGGGGAGGGAAAAGAAGGTGAGAAAAGTGGATAAAATTAACTGGAAGATGCCGGCTTTTGCACAAATTTTGAAATACGATTTGTCTGAAAGGTGAAGAGAGGTGGTCAAAACAGGAAGGTTATGAATGTCAGGGCAAGCATCCAGGCAGGGCAGGCTGGGAAGGCGGCAGGAGATGGGGATGCCAACACTTCTCTAGTGGGCTCTAGGATCCTAAAAAGAGCCTCCAGGCACCACTTGGCACCACTGCAGCCCCAGGCCCTGAAGTGCCATGGGCTGGCTCATGCCCATGCTCAGGTGCTCTGGAGTTTCCCCACTCCAAGTCAGATCCAACAGGCCTTGCTGGGTGCTGGGGAGGAAGCGGCAGGCCCGGGGGGTCTGCATCTCTCTGGGTCCTGCCAGACCTCATGGGGAACAGTAAAGGAAAGGCAAAATGGTTCCCAGGAGGCTCCCAGGGATGCCCCACGTCACCTCTTCACACTCCTCCGCCTTCTGTGCTGCCACCACTGCCGCCGCCTGGGCCGGGCCGCGCTTGGCCCCTGCCTTGGGCTCGGTCCGGCCCGGTGCCCTGGCCTCAGTCTTCCTGTCGGCCGTGGGCTCGGCCCGGCCCAGGGCCCTGCGCTCAGGGCTGGGGCGCTGCGGCTCCTTGGCCCGAGGCGGCTCCGGCTTGGCCTCCGCCACCGCCGATGGCTTCTCCTCACGGCCCTGCGGCGGGCCAGGGGTGCCCCCTCGGCGCTGGGGCTCCCCTCGAGGCTCCGGGGAGGGCGGCTCATTCTCAGGGAACTGCTCCTCCTCATAGTCCGTGGCGGGGGTGACCGGCGACGTCCGCACGGCGTAGCTGTGGTAGCCCTTGAAGTGCTCGACGTCGGGCTCGCGCGCCATGCGCTGCAGCGGCCCGATCTCCATCTGCTCGGTGCCACGGCCGCGGCCACGCGAGGCCGGCCGGGCCTCGCCCTCTGAGGGTGCTGGGCTGCCATCGCCTGCCCGCCCGCCCGCCTCGGCCCAGCTGCCTGGCCGCAGGGCCCCGTCCTGCCGGGGGGCCGCCTTGGCCCGCTTGGCCTCGGGAGGGGTGGCGGCAGGGCTGGGTGCTGGGCTGGCGCGGGGACGCGGCTCCTCCTGCTCGTGGAGCTGGGGGCTCTCGGGCGGTGTGGGGGGCGGCGGGGCGGCCTCGGGCCGTGGCGCCTCCTCCTCCATGTTGACCGCGTGCTCGGCGTTCTCAATGATCTCCTGCAGCAGCTTCCGCTTCTGGTACTCGGGGCCTGAGGAGAGAATGTGTGAGGAGTCACTATGAGACAGCGCGGTACCCCAGTGCCATGGCACCATCGTGGCTTTGCAGCTGTGCCCCAGCAGCAATGGGTTAGGGAACCATGGAGCAAGGGTCCAGGCTGGAGTCAGGGAAAGGAAGAACTCCCAAACCAGACGCTGCTGCCAGGAGGAACTTCCTCCAGGAACTTCCTCTAGGAATTTCCTCTAGAAACTCCTGAAGGCTCCAAGCCTTATCGTGGGCTCCTTATTGTGGACTCCTCCAAGCCTTATTCTCAACTGTCCAGTTGGGAAGAGCTGAAGGAGCAGGCAGGAGCTGCAGATAAGGTTAAATAATGAAACAATGAAAGTCTGCAGCCCAGCTTCATGTGGTCACACAGATGGGTCATGCAGTGGCTAAGGAAGATACAGTGCCCAATGAACTTTGTTTAATTTTTTATTTAATGGATGGGAAGCTCTTCCATGTGGCTTCCTTGGTGTCTAATAGCATGGTAACTTCACAGGACATACAGGATGACCAGTGTCATTGGGAAAGGCAGGGTCCCTAGATTATCTATGTGCCATCTATCATGACAGGAAAAATATGTTTTTTATATATGGAACAGGGCTGGAAGTTATACAGCCCTCTTGTCTGCCCTGAGCTCCACAACACCAGCAAAATTACCTGGCACCATCACGAAAGGTGACTCAGGGCTTCATATTTCATTTTGGCCTCATCTCACACAATGACTCGTGAGTTCCTAGCAACATTGCCTCACTTCAAATTTTCACCTATCATTAAATCTTTACTTCTCATTAACCTATTACAAATTGCAGCCCAGCCTGGGCCAGGGGAGTTCAGACAGAGCCTGACACTGAAGATATCCACCAAAATGCATCACTAAAGAACTGGGAATATTATGTGGAATAATAACCCTCCACAGTGCTCCACATGCTAAGATGTGCTGGGAGAAGGGTCCCTACACATCACCCTGACACTCATAGCAAGTGAGGACAAGAAGAGCATCATGCTCCTCCTGTGCAGTGTGAGGTTGCAGAGCAGCTTCTTTGAAAGCAAAGCCCCTGCTCTGGCCTCATTCTGCTGAACCCCAGTGATGCTGATGAGGGCTTGCTCTGTGCTCCTAAATGACACTGTATATCCTGGAGCCACACTGCCTCTGGCTGCCTTAAGGTCTCTCCCCTCAGCTCCTCCATCTCAAGGACTGATTCAGACCTTGGGAAATTTGGCTTGGTGCTCCTTTTGCTCTCATAAGTCAGTGGTATGATTTGCACACTGCTACCTCCTGTCCATTCAGGCAATGCCTCCACTTGGAGGGGCAGTGGGGAAAAGGAGGGCACTGATTTCAGTGCTCTGCTCTGCCTGCACACTCCTGTCAATCAGCAGATGACCCATTCAGGGCCATTTATTTCTGGCTGCAACTGAGTTATTTGGAAGCCATTTCAACAGTTGTTCAGACTCCTCAAAATAGGCTGCCTGCAGCTCCAGGCTCCTTGCTCTCTCCTGCTGCTTTCTTCTCTTCCTGAATAATTTACAACACAAAAAACCCCCAACTGCTGGGAGGGCACACACTCAGCTCCCCACCTTCTTCTCCCTGCACATTTCAGCAAGGTTTTGGCTTACATCCTTCTCTAAGTTACCTGGATGATACCCTGAAATTCAGGGCTCAACAGTTATTAGGGATATGGGGCTTGCTGAGCAGGATTGCCTGTGTCAAACACAGCATGGTCAATCTGCCAGGACAGCAGGGAGAAACACAGCTACCAAACACAGCTGGGCTCTCCTGGTTGTGTGAGCAGCAGCTCTCACTCCTAGCAAAACCCAAGGCTGGACTACTGCCTGTTTGCTCCTGGATGGTGCAACTGTGTGAGAAGAGATATATCCTTGTACACTTTGGGCATGTAGAGGTTTAATAGAATCACAGAAGAATAACATACATCAGGAGCTTGAGAGAGGCCAGGACCCAAGTGAGGCCCTACACAACAGCAGCAAGAGGATCCAGCACCTGAGGAGCCAGGAGTGGAGGTCAGGCTGCCCCAAATGTTTTACAGAGACTGTTTCAGTTGTCTAATTCAATTGCCACGGGTGGAAAAAATAATCTAGCTAGATGTCCAAAACCTCCCCATAGGGATTCCAGTTCCTTTGTTTCTGTTCTATAAATACCCCAGTGTGCAAAGGGTGAATGTAGAGCTGTGAGTGGCAGCTGGGGGACTTATGTGAGGATCAAGCAACATTTAACCATTGTTAAAGGAAGTGCCATGGGCTGGCTCATGCCCATGCCCGGGAGATCTGGTGTTTCCCCACCCAAAGCCAGCTCCAACAGGCCTTGCTGGGTGCTGGGGAGGAAGAGGCAGCCCTTCAGCATGGTGTTTCCCCAGCTCAGAGGTGCAGTACAAGGTGGGAGAACAGGGAATTTTGGAAAATCTGTCAGCATGACTCTCCCCAACCAGGCACCAGCTCTGAGCTGTTCCCATTTCCCACTGTGTGCCCTGTGCTGGGAGTGGTACAAGAGATGCAGAGACACCGAAATCAGAGCAGGGGCAGGTGTCAGGTTTTGCTGAGCACAAGTCAACCTTTGGCCTCTACCCCCAGTTTTACCACTGTGATAGTCCCTTGTCATCTTGCCTCAGTAACCATGGGACACTCACTCCAGGCAATAAATCCAGAAAATAAGAAAGACAGAATGAAAATATAGGCACTTGGAATTTTATTTTTTGCTCTATTATTACCTTCCCTCTCTGTAAAGGAGTTTCCCAGGAAGAATATATCTCTCCCTAACTCAGTCCAGGGAAAAGTAATGGCATTCACAATGCTGATTCTAATATGACACTTCTCATCTACCAATCCTCAGTGCTTGGTCTCACAGAAAGAACCTCCCAAGTGTTTACCAGCCAAATAATTAGCAGTGATACTAACAAATTAATAGAGAAACAGGAAAATAGTATTTTGTATTAACTGCTTTCTTATAGGATATTACAGCCCCTAATTAGCAGAGTCTGATTGTTTTGAGGCCCCACAGGATGTGGGTTTGTGAGTTAATGTGTAACACTGTTCCAAGAAAAAGCCACATGGGATGTATCTACAGGAGAGCTGTAGATAGCCCCGAGCTTGCTGCCTGTCCTGCCTGCTGTTCTGAGGGCTTCAGTGTATGGAAAAACATGAGAAGCTCAGAAACTGTGGGGTTTTTTCCTCCAGGCTATGGTACCACAGTGAGTAAAACAGTGGTGTCAGGAGGACAGCAAATCACCCAGGACAAGGGGCTGGCTGTAGAGCAAAAGAGGATTTAGGATAGACAGGAGAGCATTTTGCGGAGTTATTAAGTGGGTGAAGCACTTGAACGGATTCCCTGTGGAAATTGCAAGGCCCTTCTTGAAAGATGCCTCTGATCCTACCTGGCTGGTAGAAGTCTGGGGAGAGCTCCCTGGCCATCATTCTGGCTATGCCTGATTCGTTGTTGGCTGCCTGAGCTGCCTGCTCAGAGCCTTCAGCCTTGGCTTTGGCATGAGCCGTCCTGCAGAGAGAAGAGGGGAGAACAGTGAGCACCCTCTGAGCCAAGGTCATCCCACCACACAGCAAACCCTGGCTGCCACCACAACTACACCAGCACAGCTGGCATAACTGCACTCAGAATTTGCCCACATGACCCAAAATCCTACATTCAGGCAGAGAAAAAAACCAAAAAGAGCAGATTTTCAGCATGGAAGGGGCCCAGCTGCTCAAGGGTAAGGTGGAAAGGCTGCACACAGGGAACAGGGCAGGTGTATTTGTAAATGTGAGCATGTTCACACATTGCAGTGAGGCAGCAGAATGGGCTCATTGCTGTGCTGCTCAGAGAAATGACCAAGGCATCCATCACACAGGCATGGTTGGTGGCTGAACTATTCTGTCACCAGCCCTGAGCTGCTGCACCTCACCAGAGGCAGTGTGCCCCTGCTCAGCACACCAGATGGGTTTTCCCAGAAATTTCTCACTTGTAGCCTTGTCCTGGGGCTCCTTTACTCACTGCAGCCTGACAGGCTGGTCTCACCAGAGCTATTGTCTCCCTCTCAGCTTGGCTCTCTGAGTCCTTTCCACTCCTTCCCAGCACATCTCCTCCTTGCTCCTCAGGGCTGCAGGCTATGGGAGTTATTTTACTGGCCGGCTGTCATATTCCTCACATGCCTCATGCTCAGGGCTCTGTGATCTTCCTGCTAAAAGCAGGGATGGCTTTACAGCCCAGCTGCTCACAGGCTGGGAAGGAGCTGACTTCAAACAGCAACGCTGCACCTTAAAAATAAGGGTGGGTGAAGAACAGTATATTCAGCTGCTTTGTTGCACTCAGGTCTTACTGAGAGCTGCCCTCCCTGTGCTCTCACTGGCAGATTCCCCATTTCATGTACAAATCCACATATTTTTGTGTGATAAGTAGTTAGCATTCCTCAAACTCCAATTCACCCTAAATTACAACCTTTAATGTGGTCTGATGAGCCCTTTTCACATGCAGGTTGGTATCTGGTCATGTTTTAGGACAAAAAAGGAGGAAAGATGCAGTTCTCATTCCTGCAGTAAAAACACTCCAGCGGAATTTTTGGGCTGTTAGTCATGAAATGAGGATTGATTCCTTCCCATTAAACTGAGATGCAGTAGGCAGACAAGACAAGCTGAAGTTTGAATACTCAACAGGGGCAATGAAAAGATGATAGAAATGCTGTTCTGAGACCCTTACAAGGGAGAAGATACATATGCCATTCTGAGTAGCTGCAGGGAAAGAACTGAAAGTGGGACATCAATCCCAACTGATACAGGCAACAGTGTGACTTGACAAGGGGCCAAAAACACTTCTCAGGGCCCTGGGATAGAGAAGAGGGTGCAGAGCTGCTGTGGCTCAGCCTGTCCCTCCCTGGGATGACATCCCACTCTGCTGGAGCCATGATTCACCTCCCTGCCCACACTCACATGTTATCTCCCTGCTTTCTCTGCAGGCTGAGCTGCCTGGGATTGCAGTCATTCTTGCTCTTTTTATCCAAAATCATTACAGCTCCTGAAAAATCCAGAGACACGATGAGGCAGAAAACAGCATTTTTAGGCTGCTGCTTGCAAGCAGGGGGTCTGAGCCAGTTCTGAACAGAGAAAGCACCTCCTTTTTTGGTAGCAATATAATCAGCATGATTAATTCCACTATAATCTGGCAGGGGCCAAGGGGAATGTGTGTGTGCTCTCCATGCCTGGGGGATCAGAGTGGGCTGGGTGTGCTGAGCCTGGGGCACACAGCCTGCCTGGCGCCAGCCCCAGGCCAGAGGCTTTCCAAGGGAGGATCCAGCTCTTCATCCTGGCAGGACGTGCTCCAGGCCCTGCCTTCATCCTGCTGCTCCTGGAGGATGGGATTCACCATCAAGAGATAAAATTCTCCTTTTCAGTTGCTCTCTGAGCCAGGCAGATGCTTTCCTGACCAATTCCCAGGCAGACAATCACCCAGCTGGCCCCAGCTGGGGGAGCAGCAGGCAGCTCCTGGCAAGTGCTTTCCTCAAAGCAGCTCCCAAAGAAGTAATCTGGAAGTGCACTAGATGGGGGTCTGGTCTCACTAGTAAGGACAGAGATGGACATGTCACCAAGAGGGTGCAGATGGCTCCTGCATGCTCAGCTCTCTCAGCACCTGGGGACAACACAAGAGAACAAGGCTCTCTTGTGGAGGGCTGTGAGCAGCACTGCATCCCTTGGTGCCTGGGAATGCTGCAGGCTGAGGTAGCTCCCAACTCCTGCAGAAGGAGAGATGGCAAGACCAAGAAGATCCAGCCTGGGTTGCAGAGGCTGCAGTGAGGATGCTGTGGGAGGTGGGGAGCTGAGCCATTGCTGTGAGACCCCACAGCCCCAAGGGTAGCAGGGCTCTGCAAGGAGGGCTGTGAGGGCAGGGACACTCTTGGGCAGCTCCTGGGCTGCTCATACAGAGTGGTGACAAGAAGCTGAGCAGCACAGCTTTGGCATCCTGCACTGCCCCACAGCAGCTCTCACTCTGTGGGACACAGCTGACTTCTGCTCCTGTCCCCCTGCTTGCAAAGTCATCCAGAGGTGTTTGATTTGGGGGGACTATTGTCAATACAGCTGCCCTTTCAAATCTGGCACTTCCAGCAGACCACACATCATCCCTGTCAGCATCCCAGGAGAGCACTGCTCTCCCAGCCAGCCTGGCCCCAGCAGGGATGCTGATGCGCTGTGCTGGGTCCCTCTGCTGCTGACATCATTTATCTGCCAGTAGCCAGGTGAGGAATGTTTGGCTTTCAGAGACATGGCATGGTGGCTGAAGTTCATTTTCCCTGGCTGAGCTGCACATGCCCAGAGCACCAAGGGATGCAGTGCTGCTCGCAGCCCTCCAATAAACCTACACTGAGGGTTTAGTGCACTGTGACAAAGCCCAGCCTAGAGGAAAGGGTCCAGCCATTACAATAACTTCTAGCTGGCCTCAAGTATCCCTGAATTTATGATTTATCTGCATGGCTGGCAGAGCCTGGGAGCTCAGTACAGAGGAAAACTTGGCCCTGGTAGCAAACCAGGAGACAAATGCCAGCCACCCTGGGAGAGCCCAGCGCATGCAGCACAACAGCCTGTCCCATCCCACAGCCTGGGGTCTGCCAGAAGCAGGAGCTAAGGAAAGAAAAAACCCAGGGATGTTTGAGGGTGCCAGGAAGATGATTGCAAACCCCAGAAGTGAAACGTGCAAGAAGAAAAATCTCTTCCAAGGTTAAGATCTTCTCAACAAGCAAAATGAGCTTCCACAGAAAGGAAATACCAGCCTTGATAAATTTGATGCTATTCAGGCCCACTTTAATCAGGGCCACACTTTTTTATTTATTGCTGTTGTGTTGTCAGCTCCCAGTAACTGTGCAGTAAACAGCCGCTGCAAAAACCAGCAGAGGAGAAAGTCTGGAGATAGAGGAGCTCAGTAAGAACTGAAACACAGACCCAGGGGCTTTAGAGCAGCCAGCAGCAGGATCCAAGAGACCCTTTTCAAGGCAGCACTGGAAAATGAGCCACGAACAATAAACACATCCAGCTGGAGGAAATAAACACAAAGAGGGACCTTTACAAACCCACACCGGTGCTCCCGGTCCCAAAGGCAGCGCTGCCAGGATGAACACTTCCCAACTGCACCCTGAGCCATCTCCCTGGGCAGTGCTGATAAAAATAGCTCCAGTGGATTCTTTGCAAGGAGGAGCAGCAGCTCGGAGCCGAGCTGAGGGGAGGCATGTGGGCAATGTCTGCAGCCCCTGTCCCAGCCCTGCTGCCACTGCCTCCCGGCTGGGTCACAGCAGCTGCTGGGCTTCACACCCCGGCACGACAGGAGGGTTAAATGCATCTGCTGCTTTATTTGCTCCTCTGGCACGGCTCTAATGCTCTAATCGTTTTTGTGCTAGTGCAGGACAGAGCACCACTCCTGTCCTTCCTGGCCATGTCCCAGAAACACTGCCTGGATCATTCCTCCAAGTGCTGCTGAAATCCCCCAGGGACACACGAGCCGCAGCTGAGCACCACGCTAACAGGTGAGGCCCAGCCCCAGCAGCACCCCGGCTCTTCGGACAGTTTCTGTGGTTTTGCACATCCACATTGGATTAGACTGCAAATGAAACTGGAATTAGCAGGGAATACTGCAAATACCAGACAGGGCTGGGGTGCCTGAAGATGCAGCAATGACCTTGCAGCTAGAAATAGGGGAAGAGTTCAGCTCTCTGCCCTCACATTTGCTTACTGGGGGAATGTCAGACCTGTCCAGTGCTGCCCTTCCTTCTCCAGGGTCCCCCTTCTCCCATTGATTCAGCAAACCCTAAGCAAGGGCCAACTGAACACCCCTCCAGCCCAACCCATTCTATGATTCTTGCCATTCTTGATATTAGGAGCTGTCTGGAAGACCATTAAGCAAAAGTAATTAATGAGTCAGTTCTAGGAAGAGTCTTCTGCTGAACTCCCCTCTCCTGGAAACTGGCTGTTCCACTCCCAGCCAAATCCCTGCTCCAGCATCCAGCAGGAATCATTTTGTCCTTCTGAAGAAACTTAAAACAATTGTTTGTCTTGGCAGGAATGTTTGCAGCACTCAGAAGGGAGCTAGGGAAAGCTCAAGAAGTGTTTTTGTTAATGGCAACATGGTCCCTTCTGTGCTCACATCATAAAGGGCAAGAGCACACAGACCTGACAGCACACACCTGGGCTGGGGCTGGGACTGGGACTGGATGACATTTAAAGGTCCTTTCCAGAATTCTATGATTCTACATCCTGACTAGGACAGAACTTTTTGGCTTCTCCATTTGACACACCATCTTCATACTTGTCTCACCTCTCTGGCTGAAGCTTCTTTCTTCCTGTTCAGTCCCAAACCATCTCCTTTGTGTCTCTCCCTCTGCCTCCACACGCACAGATACCAGCAAAACTCTGCTACCCTCATGTGCCTGTAACCAGCCCACAGGACTGAAATTCCCTCTTCAGTCCACCTCTCATGCCACTTTCCCTGCCCTCAGTCAAACCCATCTGGGTGTCCTGCCCTGA